TATTTTCTGATCTATGTTATTATAATGTTTCCTCTCATGAACGTATCTGGAGTTGTGTTTTGTTTCATTCACACATGTTTAACACACAAACTCTGCAGATTTAGGCTCAGTTCTTCTCTCAAGTAGAAAACTCTGTTCTACTTTGAGATGTCATGTGGTAATACAGGAAGTTCTTTAGTGTGTTTTTAAACTCCATGCAGCTTCACTAGAATCATTTGGATAATTTCAGATCAGTAATTGCCAATCTCTATTGAAATCAAGATAAAATGTAGCTGTTAACTTGAAAACTACCACTACATGACATCACAAGGTGGAAAAGAGCATTTTGAGCTTTGAAAATGTCATTGAAAATTACATTCTAATAATGCAGGATTACTCAAACATGTGTGAATGAAACAAAACACTGCTCCAGGTCTGTTTTTGAGGAGGTATTTTTTTTGGTCAATATTAAAATCACGATTATTCAAACTATTATTTTTTAATTGCACAATGCATTTATTCAGCGTTTCTTGTTATCACTTTGTTATTGATTATTTATGCAACACTTTCAAATTGAAAATAAATACAGGCTACAAATATGAACCTTAGAGCAGTTTTGCGATGTATAAAACATAAAATGAATAAAATATACTTTGAACATGAAATAAGGCATAGAAAAACATAAATGTATCCAAAATAAACTGTATATCCCGCTGTTCTACAATCTCTATATTTAAAAAATAAAATAAAAATATATATTTATTTGCCTGGAAGAATCCAGACTCATCGCTGTACCAACGGCTGATATGGAGCTGTATAACAAATACAGAGAAATATCCTTCTGGATTTCCAGGCAACATATTTATATAAAAAATATCCCAAAATAAACTTTCTTAAATCATTTCAACTCGATTATTATTTTGGTTAGTTTGGTTTGGAGATGGCGATCAAAATTCAATCAATCTGATTAATTAATTAATTTATTCATAAGGGAATTAATTGCACAGCCTTAATATAGGACCTTTAAAACCTTTTCAAATTTCACCAAACTCTCCACTAGTAGGGCTGTCAAAAGAATCAAAAATCAAATAATAATCAATACTAAAACTAGTATCAAGAGTGGATATACTGGGAATATAAAATAAAGTACTATGATAAATAAAGAGTGTTTTTATTATCATTGTGGTGTCAGAATCGGTATTGAGCATTGAGCACATCTTAGTATCGAAACTGAGTTTGAAATTTTTGTATCGCCGTGATCACATTCTCCACATTGTTCTTTTGAAAGTCTTCGCTCTGACTCAGCCCTTTCACTCTTTGCCTTCAGGGTCACTCCTCTAATTTTAGTTTAGGCACAGCCGAAGCAGATGGGTGTTTTTCCTTGTAAAACTAATTTGCAAGTCAAAAATGTTTCTTTATTTCACCTTAGCCTTTTAACGCTGCCGCTTTGATCCAATGAGGCAGCAGCTGTGAAAAGTGAAGTTGGTTACAAGAGACAATATAGGACATATAGGACTCACGTGCTCTGATATTAGAGACCAGGGGTGAAAGGAGTGCTCAATTTTGTTACTTAAAGGTGCACTGTGTAACTTTTTGGTTGACTCTACTTTACATTTATTCAACAGGTGGTTTTATAGCTCAAAAATACTTAGAAAAACATACTGGAACTATTGCCTCTCCACAGATCTGACCTGTAACTTGGTCTGGTTTGGTCTCCCTGGAGATAGAAAGGTTTAATGCCATACTGTGAAACATTCCAGACAAAGCAATAACATCTCCATGGAGACAAGCATCTGACAGACCCTCCACCAGAAAAGTTACACAGTGCACCTTTAAGTAAGAGTACAGATATAAGAGCAAAGAAAATACAAAAGTAAAAGTAAAAGTATATCACATGATGAAAGTATTAAAGTACCTGTTTATAAATGTACCGTATTTTGTCAGCGTATTACGACTACCGTAGTCAGGAGCCTCAGGAGTAAAGGGTGAAGTCTAGTTCTGCGTCGGCATTTATGATATCAATGAAACGCTACAGAGAATATATGTCCATTCATATATACAGTCTATGTGTACGACCTGCAGACTTATAATCTCTGAAAGGTTTCACATGAACCATCTCCAGCGTGAGAGAAACACAGAACAGACTCACCATCAGCAGCACATCCTGTGTCACAGAAAAAACACTCATATTCCACTGAGTCGGATCCTTTAGTCCGACAGAAGCTGAACCACATCAGAGCACAAGGAGCGAGCTGTTTTTTTTAATGCTTATAGTTTATGCAAATGAGCTATGTAGTTTTAAGTTTAGTTTCTGTAAAACGTAAACAAATGTTCTCAAAGCTGTATTAAACACATTATTACTCAATGCATATTTGAATCCTCCTCGTAGGAAATAAAAAAACAAACCACCCATATACGCATTCATAATACACACATGCACACATTCACCAAGACAGAGAGGCAACGCCGGGCGAGTTACGCCACGATCTGCCAATGGATCGTGGACGCCTGGGCTAAGGATCAGTCTCAAGTGTCGTCCGTTTGTTTCACTTAATGCCTCTTATAATCCAGGGCACCTTATGTATGAAAATAGATGGGAGAATTCAACATTATTGATATTGCGCTTATAATTCAGTGTGCCTTATAGTTAAAAAAATACAGTACCTAAAGAGTAAAAAATAGAAGTATTTTGCATAGTTTTTGTGATCTAATAAAGGTTCAAATGCTCTGATTTTGATAAAGAATTTTCTTAAATGGGAACAACTGAATTCATATTTTTTCCTAACTGTGTTTATTTGTATATTTTTGTTTGCTCAAACTACAAATGTGCTTTTAAATCCCATACACCTTCACTAGAATTATTTGGATAATTTCAGCCTTGGATTTGCCAATCTCTTCTCAACAGAAGGTAAAAGAAGTTGTTAAATTGAAAACTTCCACTACATGACATCACAAGGTAGAACAGAGCATTTTTTTGTTTTGGAGATGAACAAAGACTTACAATAAAAGATTACTCAAAAGTGCAAATGAAACTAAACACAACTCCAGGTATGTTTTTGAGGAAGTTACAACATTATTAAACAACATGTCAATTTTGCGCTATATAGGACCTTGAAGAGTAATTTTATGAGTCCGACCTTCTAGAATATTTTTGCTCAAATCAAATAACATAGATTATTTATAATTAAGTGTGTATTAATTGTTATAAAGCAGTGATTTGTGAGCAGTGGAGGCCTCACACACAGAGATGTTGTGTGGTGGGATGGTCTCATGCAGAACAGATGTTGGATGAATGCTTGATTGACTTTGGATTAAACTATTACCACAACACAGGATTAGACATGATCCAGACTGTCTCACTGAAACTCCTCCTCAGATACTTCATGCTGTTTATTTTCTCTATCACTTATCCTGCTTCATCCACCTGCCCTGCACTAATGAACTGTTGTCACTGTGAGGCCTGTCACAATAATTACTATATCAACTTATTGCTTAGTATATGAAAGAAAGAACAGTATTTTGGGGCTCAATATTTATGTGGACTTTTTCAATAATTTATATTTAATTGCAAGTGTTTTTATTGCTCAAAAATACCTAAAGCAACTTAAAGCATGTATTATTATTGTGCCATTCTCCACAGATATGACCTGCAACTTTATCTATTCTCGATAAGTAGAAATTTTAATGCTGTACTGAAACATTTGAGGCAGGTAGCAGACCAGAAAAGTTAAAGAGACAGTCTGGAATTTTGGACATAGAACTTCATTTTCCTAGTGATAGGTGCTAGGTGATATCAGTCCACCGCTGCCAAGCTTTCTATCAGGAAGTACAACTCAATGCTGTTGCTCAGACATAAATCCTTCAAATGCAAGGTTGGTTTTACTTCTAAAATTATTCTGTCAACACAAACATTCACATTCATGTTATGTCCATAGTCATGGTCAGTTCAATACAATCAATTCAATCATTGTGTCCTTAGACAAGACACTTCGCCCTATTTGCCTAGTATGAAAGTGGTGTGTGTGTGAGTGATGGTGGTGGTCGGAGGGACCGATGGCGGCGAGTGGCATGGCAGCCGCGCCCCTGTCAGTGTGCCCCAGGGCAGCTGTGGCTACAACAGTAGCTTACCATCACCAGGGTATAGAGTGAATGAATAATGCTGTATGAATGAATGCTGAATGAATAATGCTGAATAATGCTGTGTAAAGCGTCTTTGGGGACAGAAAATATCTGTGAAAGCGATATATAAATAAAGACTTACTTACTTACTTACATTGACAGTCTGGCGTTATAACTGTTTTGCTTTGGGTGTTTTGTGGAGTGGGTAAGACTGTTTTTAGTAGCAGGCTAACTATGGCCATTGACATGCACTAGCCTAGCACCAGTGACCTCTGCAATGTGTCTCCACACGTCTCCAACACTCGGGCGAACTACGAAATGAGGTCCTATGTCCAAAATTCCGGACTATCCCTTTAAATAGGGCACCTTTTAAAAATACTGAAACATATTGCAGGGATGCACCGATCCAGGTTTTTCTGTTCCGATACCAATCAATACTTGGGCTTTAAGTCCCTGTTAATGCCTGATATCAATCGAAAATGTTATTTATTTCCTTTAAATACAAACAGCGTATGGTTAAAAAAAGTATCCAAATGTGTTTTGTAACTATAGAAAAAAAAAAATACAACTAATAAATAAAATAAATAAAAATAGTTTAGTTTAATATTATGAGATGTTTTGGACCAACATTGGCCAGTAAATTGTCTTATTACATCACTTTATAGACTAAAGAGAGATATAGAACCAGAGATCCGATCCACCGCAATTTTCAATATCGGCATTGATATCTGATACCAGTGTTGTATCTGTGCATCCCTAATATATTGTCGACTCACATAAGATGTATTCATGTATTCATTGTACTTTCGCTGAATCGTCATATTACGATATGATTATCTCAACCATGCAGCCAGTTATCAGTCAGTAATAATAATGGTTTTGTGTTGTCTGTTGTGTTGCAGTGAGCAGAGCATTTGTCAGGCGCGGGCCTCAGTCATGGTCTATGACGACACCAGTAAGAAATGGGTCCCGATCAAACCAGGACAACAGGGCTTCAGCCGCATCAACATCTACCACAACACTGCCAACAACACCTTCAGAGTGGTGGGGGTCAAACTGCAGGACCAACAGGTGAGACTAAGCCAGGACTAAACCAGGGCTGAACCAGCTCTAAACTAGGACTAAACCAGGGCTGAACCAGGACTAAACCAGTACTAAACCAGGACTGAACCAGGACTAAACCAGGGCTGAACCAGGACTAAACCAAGACTAAACCAGGGCTGAACCAGGACTAAACCAGGACTAAACCAGGGCTGAACCAGGACTAAACCAGGACTAAACCAGGGCTGAACCAGGACTAAACTAGGACTAAATGAGGACTACACCAGGTCAAAAGCAGGACTAAAACAGGAGCAGATGCAAGACCAGTAGGTGAGACAAGAATTAAAACAGGACTGAACAGGGACTAAATGAGAACTAAATCAGGACTAGCAGGATCAAACATGGACAGAATCAATACAAACCAGGACTAAACCAGGATCTGATTCCTATTACCAGTCACTATTACTGCCTAGATCTTCCTTAAAAAAGGTTATGTGATTCAATAAAAATGTGCTTATAATATTTAATGACATTTTCCAGTAATTTGCCTTAATGACAACAATTACTATTCTGATTTTTAAACATTTTAAAGTATAATAGTAGTATTTTATGCAGTGCTCAGATATTTCAGTGTTTGGGGCATAGATTGCAACATCCAGCAGTTATTTTTGGATCTGGATTCAGAGATGCTGCTTTGAACTGACTTGAAAAAACAGTCGTCATCAAAAAGAGAGCACAAATTTCTTTGTGTTTAGTTTTACATTCGGTGTCAGAGTCAAAACTCAGAAACTTGTTAATAAGAGGAATGTTGTGAATAAAATATGACAGAACGAGAAATGAAATGCTGAAGCAGGAAAAGCAATCTAGGAAACATGTTGTGTCAGATAGAAAATGATTCATAAAATGTTTAATGAGCCAGGACTAAATCAGGACTAAACCAGGACTAAACCAGGACTAAACTAGGACTAAACCAGGACTAAACTAGGACTAAACCAGGACTAAACCAGGACTAAACCAGGACTAAACCAGGACTAAACTAGGACTAAACCAGGACTAAACCAGGACCAAATCAGGACTAAACCAGGACTAAACTAGGACTAAACCAGGACTAAACCAGGACTAAACCAGGACTAAACAACATCTACCACAACATCTACCACAACATTGCTAAAAGTATCTTTAGAGTGGTGGACCTACCAATGATGAACTCAGAACTAAACCAGGACTGAGTCAGGGTTATAGCAAGACTTGAATTTGAACTAACCTGGACTGAACCAGGACTAAGCATAGACTAAACCAGGAATGAATCAGGACTGAACATCTAACACAACAACCTGAATAGTGGAGGTAAAGCTACAAGAAAGGCAAGTAAGCAAGAACTGAATAAGGACTAAATCAGGACTAAACTAGAAAAGCACTCAGAGAACGCAGACCTCCGCCAAGGACTACCCCCATTTTTTATATAAATTGAGATAAAATCAGTCTTCTGGATCAGATCTGGATCAGCCTTTGGAATATGAAAGAGGATCCCATTGTCCATCCCTGAGTCAAATTTCATGGGGTTTGGTCAATAATTAACCGAGATATTGAGAAACAAAATTTTTGGCCCCATTTACCACAATGTTAACTAAAATTTCAAAGTGATCCAGAATCCAGGATTTCTTCCGGATCACCCCCAAAATGAAATCAGTTCTTCCTTTTCACATTTCCAACAAATCCTGAAAATTTCATCAAAATCGGTCCATAACTTTTTGAGTTATGTTGCTAACAGACAAACAAACAAACAAACAGACAAACGCCGGCAAAAACATAACCTCCTTGGCGGAGGTAACTAGATCTAAACCAGGTCTAAACTAGGACTAACCCTAGACTGAACCAGGACTAAACCATTATGACTGAAACAGGGCTGAACGAGTACTAAACGAGAGCTAAACCAGGATTAAATTGGGACTAAAACTGGTTTAAATCAGGACTGAACCAGACCTAAACTAAAAGGACTAAACATCTACCACAACAACCTTTAGAAGAGTGGACATAAAGCTACAATAAAGACAAGTAAGACAGAACTAAATTAGGAATAACCCAGGACTAAACCAGGACTAAACCAGGACTAAACCATTATGACTGAAACAGGGTTGAACCAGTACTAAACGAAAACTAAATCAGGACTAAACCAGGGAAAACCCATCTTTCCCTTGATGTCCCCGTGGTGCAGGTGGTGATAAACTACTCCATAGTGAAGGGGCTGAAGTATAACCAGGCCACACCCACATTTCACCAGTGGAGAGACGCCCGCCAGGTCTACGGTCTGAACTTTGCCAGTAAAGAAGAAGCCACCACCTTCTCCAACGCCATGCTCTTCGCCCTCAATGTGCTCAGTGCCCAGGATGGAGGTGAGAGGGCTGCTAATGTTGTGGTTATGTAATAAGTCTAAAGAGTGAATACTTTAAAGCTGCATTGTGTAACTTTTCTGGTGGAGGGCCCGTCATATACTTTTCTCCATAATTGCTGTCTGGAATGTTTGACAGTAATTGTAATTGAAAAAATGTAAAGTAGAGCTGTTTAATGTCGTACTGTGGAACATTCCAGACAGAGCAATGACATATCCATGGAAACAAGCAGGTGACGAACCCCAACCAAAACGTTACATAGTACAGTTGAGTTCTAAAGAGCAGAATATAAGTCTGGTCACCACAACCTATAGCCGGAACCAAGTATCATCGTCCAATCAGATTAGTTTATTTTTCAATGACATGTGTGAAACGAAGGTGCTCATTGTTCATTTATCATTTACAAACAAAGTTTACAAATTTTTCGCACCTCAGATTAACAGTTTAGTGCAGTGTTTTCCAAACTTTTTTCTGGGGACCCATATTTTAAAAGTTACAAACCTTCCCAACTCAAACCAATAGACAAAATAAAGGTGGATTTGACTTTTATTGAACATTAATGAGGATATTTTATTGTTGACTGAGTTAGTTTAGGTAGTTAGTTTATTTATTAATTATTGAGACAGCGACAGTGCACAATATAGATTAACCTTAACAGGAGAGATGCATTGTACCAGGTTGTAGTACCAGTGCTCATTTCCACTTATAGTCTCTGGGCAGGTTTATTGATTGTATTTAACTGACCTTAGCTATCAGCTATTCTCCCTGGAGACCTATGAAGCATGTTTTGGGTGATTGGGTCTCTCTGAACAATTAGTATTACCCAAATTTAAAACTATTTTATTGCTGGTCATTGAACCAGCAATAAAAGGGATCCATAAATCACCTATTTGGACATTAAATGTAGAATATGTCTTTTTCTTATCAACATTCAATTGAACTAGCCATACTGGAAGAAAATAGTCAATAAAATAATTACAAAAAGTGAAATTATAGAAATTAGAAATTATACTAAATATGTTTTAACATTTCAACAGGTGTCAGAACTGTATATTGCAGACCTACATGCAGATTGTGACAAGGCGACCACAAAAACCTTTTGTGTGCCCCACCTGAGGGTCTTGACTCAGTCTTTGGGAAAGAATGGTTTACTGCTTCACTCACGGATTGAAAATGCAAAAATCTACCATTTTTTTTTTCTTTTCCTCATAAGCAGCCATATTTTTTTTTGATACAGACACGCATGCCCCTGATTGGCTAATCCACCTGTCAATCACGCCTATCTAAGCTCGGAAAAGATGTATTCAGATGGACACTGACCAGACTCATATCTTTGCAAAGTATAGGAGAAGTGTGTATTCTGGACTTCAGGCAATGATGTCCTAACTCTGCTTCTGAATTCCAGCAGTGTCAGACCTCATAATGGCATTTTTGCTGAATTTATCCCATCTTAGGGCTTCTTTTAAAGGTGCACTGTGTCAGGTTAGCCTCTGAGCTGGTGGAGGAGTTTTAATGTTTTCAAATATTAATACGCAGTTTATTAATAATGGATTCAGACAGTCCGACTGCAGCAGAAAGGATCTGATAGACTCTGTGATTTAGACTGGAGCTTTGTACGATACAGGGAACAACTCATTTACAGGCATCAAATTCATTTATGTTATTTTTTAGTGTGGTGAATGAATCCTTTATTATTAGTCTGTCTATGTCTACAAAGCTGAACATTCTCTATTGCACCTTGTGATGTCATGTAGTGGTCAAACATGTGAATGAAACAAAACACCACTCTGGGTTTATTTATGAGGAGGTAACATCTTAAATACATTTTGCATTTATAGGACCTTTAAAAATGTTTTCACTGATAAAATAAATGTTTGTAGAAAAACTACACAAATACATGTATGCAATCTCATCATTCTTAAGTAAATAACAGAAACCCACACATGACTGGAACAACAGCCAGATCAGATGCAGCCAAGTGTCTCCCCCTACTGGTTCCTGCTGGTACTTTAATAAATGTTCTTTTTTTCACTGAGGTGGAGAACACATTGTTTCTTTTGCCCAACAAAGAGAATCAAATAACAACTACTGTGGTACAGGAAGAAAAGAGAGAGGAGGACAGGGTGGGACAGAGAGAGGGGGGAGGAGAGGGAGATGGGAGGAGGAGAGACAGGAGAGATGAAGGAAGAGAAAGGGAGGAAAAGGGGAGAGAGGGTGAAAGGGCAACATGATTAATCAAATCAAAATAACAATTTGAATGTTCACAGTTAATAATGACAACGTATGACAGATGAGACTATTATTTCACTAAATCATAGTTAATGTAATTAGATTTAAGATTTAATAAAAAACTTTATCTAGTTTTGTGGGGTTTTTTTTAATGAAAGATTATTCTTTTACTTGCTGGTTAGATTGACATGGGAAGCAAATATGACATAAGAAATAGACAATTATACACAGTAACAATAAACACAGGCTAAAATTTGTTTAAAATAGACAATGGTTTTGATTAGAATTGTAACATATGTATTTTGTTAAATCTATTTTTAAAAGGGCCATATAATGCAATTTTTCTGATCTATGTTATTATGTTGTTTTCTCATCACAAACAGACCTACAGTTCTGTTCCAACTTGTGATGTCATGTGGTGGTACAGGATGTGCTCCACTGTTTTTTTCCTATCCAATCCAACTTTATTTGTGTAACACATTTTATAAACAAGACAGTTTCCAAAGTGCTTTACACAGCAATGTAAACCATTTTACTAAAAAAAAATAAAAATAAAAATGTTCCAACTAAGAGGAAACTAATATAATCAATCAATAAAATAATAATAATAAAATCAATGAAGAAAAATAATTAAAATCAATACATAAAAGCAGTACTAAAAAATAAAATCAAATAAATAAATACATTTTAAAAAGCCACAGTTTTTAAACTCCATACACCTTCACTAGAATCATTTCGATGCTTCCAGCTCTGGATTTACCAGTCTCTACTGAACTAAATTATCTGTTAACTTGAAAACTACTGCTTCCTGACATCACAAGGTGGAACAGAGCATTTGGAGTATCGGAGATGTAAATAGACTCATAATAAAGGCTTACTCAAATATGTGTGAGTTTTTGATGAGGTAACAACATTCTAACATGACTAAAAACTCACAAGAGTCAGTTTTGCGTAACAGACGACCTTTAACTGAAACCTCCCATCTCCTCCTCCTGAACAGTGTGAATGAAGCTGCTGTAATGATATTAATGACTTTCATAGTTGTCCGTCCAGAGTCTGACCTTTTAAAACATTTACCGAGAGACTCCGCTCCACTGCTGCTGCGGCGGCGGTGTGGTTTACCTGGAGATGACAACTGATACCTGAGAGCGAGGGAGAGGGAGGGAGGAGAGGGACAGATAGAGATAGAGAGGAGAGAGAGGGAGATAGAAGTGCATGTAGGAGAGAGGGAGGAACAGAGAGAGCAGAGGGAGGGGTGAATGAGAGGAAAGCGGCACATAGAGATAGAGAAAGAGAGAAAGAGAAGAGCAGGGGAGGAAGGAGAGGGGGAGGGAGAGAGAAGGAAGAAAGAGAGGGCCAGAGGCGAGAGATAAGAGAAGGGAGGAAGAGAAGAGGGAGAATGAAAGAGGGGTGGTTAGGGAGGATGGAGAGAGAGGAGCTAGAGAGGGAGAGAAGGAAAAGAGGGGGAGGAGGGACACAAGAGAAGAGAAAGGAGGGCCAGAAAGGAGAGGAGAAAAGGAGAGAGGGGGGTGAAGAGAAAGAAAGGAGTAGATAGTAGGAGTTGTCTGAGTAGAGAGAGGGGGAAAATGGAGGGAGAGAAGAGGAGAAGACAGAGAGTAGGAAGTAAGAAAGAATAGAGAAAGAGAGAGGAGGGAGAAGAGAGAGAGAGTGGAGTGGAGAGAAAGAATAGAAGATGGAGAGAAAGAGGGAGTGGTCAGGGTGAGAGAGATAGTGAGGGAGAGAAGAAGATGAGGGGGAGGAGAGAGAGAAAGAGTAGATGATAGATGGAGTTGTCTGGGGAGAGGGAAGTCCCGGTGCAGGTGGAGATGGAGCAGGAGGAGAGCGATGGTGAGCAGAGAGTGGCTGTGTCAGTGTCTGTGCGTCTGCTTTGGACGGTTCCTCTTCTTCAGCATGTCATGTAAGAACTATAACAACTATCACGTGTGAAGAGTGGCTTTGAGTCTTTAACTTTTGCATAAATTCAATAAATACGACAAAATCATAATATAACTTTTTAACTTTAACTTCTGACTTCTGCTGCTGTCTTTGAGTGTGCATTGAGCACTTGAAGAAGACCCATTAAAAGTCTTATATTAAGCAAAACTGACTCTTAGAACATTGTTACCTCATCACAAACATACCTGGAGTTGTGTTTTGCTTCACGTGTGTGTTTTTTTAATGCGGAAACAACATTATAACACCAGAAACTGCGTAATATGGGCCCTTTAAGTTGCACTAGTGTTAGGGCAGGTGCTAAATCTAAAAAAAGCCTAACAGTCTTAGTTCAATAATTCACCACATTTGATGCATATTATACATTTAACAGGAACATTACAGAGGTTTTTTGTTCATCTGTTTGGTAAGGTAAAGTAAGGTTAGCCTTTATTGTCCCCGTAAGGAAATTTGTTCTTTGCATTTGACAAATTTTATCAAATTTTACATGATTTTCCGTTAACCTTTTTGGCACACGTCCCTGTAAACGAAAGAGATGGGTGTTGTTTTTGTCTGCATCAGGGGTGTCAAACTCAAATTCACAGAAGGACGAAATTAAAAACTGCCAAGTCGTGGGCCAAACTAAATAGTTACTGAAAATGTTCAACATCATCTGCATGTTTTCTCTTCTTTCGAGATATGTAATGTTAAACCTTTTCTTATTAAAATACATGTTTAATAATAGTTTTGCTTAAACACTGAACCCAGAACAAGCAAAATATAAAATAATAACAACATTTTAAATAAATAATGTCTCTATAGTTGATCTGTAGCCAGAGGGCCAGCTCTAATACAGATTTGATATGATCTTGCGGGCCAAATATAATTATATGTTTAGGGATTTCATAATATCAAAGTTCAGTTAAAATGTTTGCAAGAGAAACACCACGATTTTATGATTATGATTCAGAATTACTGACACTGTAATCGACTGTGAAATTCTTGAGCAAGCAGTTTTTTGAATGATAGAAACGTTCATGGGCCAAAAAGCCAGATTAAAAACATTTTAGTTTATACTTTACTTTTTTGGAGATTAGACTGGATTGAAATGGCTTAATTTTTCTTTTAAACCTTTTGCAGTTAGTTTTGCATTATTATTATTTTTTTTTTCGATTGTGACCTTTATAAACGATAGACCTGTATAGTATTGATTTTCCAAATTATCTTTACATCCCTATAAATATTTGAATTAATTTACACTATATAAAATACAATTTTTCAGTGTACTTTTGCATTGAACCAAATCGTTATCTGACTATATCATATACTCCTACTCTCCCTACTCTATACATGAACATTTTGGTTGGTTGTTAGGGTTCATGTCCAGTGTTACCAGTAAACACTACACACACACTGTTATTTAGTGCTCACACACACACACACACACACACACACACACACACACACACACACGTACACACACAGATTAGACACCTGAGCTGAGCTGTTGTAGGGTCTTATGTGTCTCTCTGGAGTGACTCAAGGCTTTTGTTTGGCCCCTGTTATTTTTACCTCTGAGTCACCTGATCTAGGGACTCCATTAACTCTGTCACTTCAGCAGGCCTGCCCTCTCTGAGCTGTGAGCTGTTTAAAGGGTACACAGTTCATTTGACATATTGGTCACTCTGGAGATGGGTTTCTTGCCCACACTTCTCCTGACAGGTTTCCCCAGTGGCACTGAAGGATGGGTCATGCAGAGGACAATAAATTTTTAACAATATTTTGAGCCCATTTATACCAGTGATTGTTAAATATATTAGTTTGGTTTTCACATTAGTTTCCTCGTATGTTTCATGAATTCTTTCCAGAAACACAAAGAGTCTGGGCAGGTCCAAAATAAGTGAGAGGTGGTTTCATGTTTCAGTTTGCAAAATATACAGTTTGTGTCCATTGCCGTTCTAAGGTGAATGTTTAGTGGATAACAGTGATGTAGAAGTTTGTAGCAGATTTCCCTTTGCCTGTTGGTGATGAGATATTTGTGAGGTCATGTCCGTACATTTTTCCATGGAATATTGTCAGTAGAGTCGGGCTGTTAACAGCGCACGAGTAGGGCTCCGTTTGGGAGGTGCACTTGTGGTGATAGTCGCTCTTTTATAAGGCAAGATTAATTGAAGATGAAGCCAAGTAAGTTCCTTTTGAAAAGTTTTTCAAAGTTTGGTGTGCAGTGTCTTCACTCACGCCTGCTCAAGCTGCCATCTTCAGGTGCGGCCCTGTCCTGCCGCTTCCCCACTTTAGGCTCCAGGCAGCACTAATGACATCACTCTGTTGCAGCCAGTGAAACCCTGTCATCATCACTGAATACTCTCAGAACGTCTAATAAACAAAACGTGAACTAAAACATGTTAAATTAATACTATTGAGTTTGGAAAAATATCAGAATATATTTTTGTTTATTCAAATAAAATGGCAAATACTGGTAGGGACTATTTTGTCTTCCCCAAATATTGGTTATGACATGTCCCCACCGTCCCTATGCATACCTATGCCCTTGTACAAAAGCCTTGAAAAACATACATTCTGACTATGAGCGGGCTTGCTACACCACAGATCTGACCTGTAAATTAGCCTTTTGGCATCACTTGCTTGTCCCCACATTGTAAACCCTAACAGTTTTCCTTACAAGAAAAAATGTTAGTTAGTTTACTTAAAGTTTATTAAATGCACTTTTTACTAAACATTATTGAGTAATGTGGTGCGTTTTTGAACAAAAACAAGACACACAAAGCACTGCTAACTTTTCTTTAGACAGTAACATAGAAGTATGTACTGGGACTGAGCCAGGACTAAAGCAGGTACTAAACCAGGACTAGACCAGGACTAAACCAGTTACTGAACCAGGTCTAAACCAGCTCTAAAGGACTAAACCAGGATTAGAGCAGAATTACACCATGGGACTGAATCAGGACTCAACTAGGACTAAACCAGGACTAAACAGGACAGTAGGACTGCAAATCAATAATGCCATACTGTGAAACTATGCAGGTAAAGCAATAATGTCTCCTTGGTGACAAGCAAGTGATGGACATTTCACCAGAAATAGTGCTCCTTTAAATGAATATACAACCAATTGTCACTATTTACATTTGGAGACAATACAGACATAATACAGTTTTAAAGTCAACATTTTATTGTATTAGTGTAAGTGATATAAAGTATTAAATCTAGCCTCTCTTCCCATATATTTACAGAAATGCTTTGTTGGCTACTTCTTTCATTCTCCCTGTATATACTCTTCGTCCCCACTTGTTCCTTTGCTCTTGTACAGTGGAGTGTCCCAGAGGAGCTCTCCAGATGAGAAATGGTGTAGTTCCATTGTGCACAGTCTGTTCCCGTTCATAATCCGTCTGTCTGGCCCCAGTCGTATCATGTTTTAAATTAATTACATAGTTTATCTGCATCTCCATCTGCACATCACAGCACTGTTTAAAGGGATTACAGCAGAGCGCCCTGAAGCTGATTTCACCAAATACAAGAGGCACTGTCATGAGCTGTGTAGGCTCATCTGATGTTTTATCTGGAATTCTTATGATAATGCTGTTAAAAGAGCACTATGTCATTTTTCTGGGTGAGGGTCTGCCATCTGCTTGTCTCTGTGGAGATGTTATTGCTTTACCTGGACGTTTTCACAGCATTAGGGCTTGATCAGGCTTTGATAAGCTTGATATGACCACTTCATAAGGCTTGAGCACTGTTAGCATGCTAGTTGTTGTTAGCAGGGGCTTGGCGTCAGTACGTTTCAAGTGTGAATCATTGCCCTATTTGCAAGGGAGAAGTTCAACCCGAGGACGTCTGGTAATTTGCAATTTACTGCCTCACCTCTGTGTTACTTGCAGCGCATTCACATGGGATAAGTGAAGTCCGTAAATTACTCTATTTTACTGACACTGACTGAGACTGAAAGAGAAAAGAATCCAGGAAAGAAAAGAAAGAGATAGAAAAAGGCACGAAATTACAACAAACACTGAGATGCAGATTTCCACGGGACTAGTACTATCACCGCACGTCTGTTTTTGGAAATATAATAGGACATTTGCGTCTTAATTTTTACTAGACATGGCACATTTGCGAAGGATTCAGCTTACAGGCATCCTCCACAATTATTACAAATCACCAAAGGTCCACACTGCCCTATAAAGGCAAAAGAGCTTCACTCTTCAGAGTGTGAAACTGAGAAAAATTACTTAAAAGTTTCAGTTTTGTCCAGATAAAAGTATAATAGCTCCCAAAATTTGGCAACTAGTTGCTATAATGAAGAAATATTTGTATGTGAAAAATACTGAGCTCTAAATTGACCTTTGACCCTTATTTGGCAGTTACTGTACACTGCCTTTGTATCATGAGCCAAAAATAAGTGGAAAACATTTTTCACACTATTTATTCAAATGATAAAGAAGGTCTCAAACACCCCCAAAATGACATTAACTCATTTTTGACCACACATGCCTTCTGCCTTTGTAGGGCAGCACAGGTCATACTAATCCTATGTGAATAGGGCTTAAACTCATTGCAGATACTAATTAGTTTTTAAGTCTGGTACAGTGATCTACATGGGGATAAGCAGCAGAATTCACAGATCAGATCTGTGGAGAGGTAACCCTGCTCAGTCAATTAAAAAAAAGAAAGGGCCGGAGAGTGGGTGAGTGAAGAGAAAGAGAGGATGGAGCAATAATATCTCCATGGAGCTGCAGGGTGACAGACTTCTCATTTTAACTCTAACTTACTTTTTATGGTATGGTCACATTATATCTCTGGGCTCATTTGAGAGAGCACAATTGTCAGAAATGTTTGAATAATGACTCATTGAATGTAGTACATCTTAATAAGCAGGATGGCTGGGTAAATTTATGCTCGTTAATCTGGAGCGAAGGATTAATTTTCTTTCATTGTCATTTCGCTCGTTAACATAGCACATAATTAACTGTCTCAGAGTGTCTGGGACTGTCGGAGACCTAATTGAATTAACAGTGAAAAGCATGTAATGGGTAATTATTATGATAAAGGTCACTGAACTCTGTGTGTCTCTCTGTGTGTGACAGGTCCAGTCATATTGTACAGTTTTCCTTTTGCATAAAATCAATAAATATGCAGTGATTTAAGCCATGTTATGAAGCTGTTACCGCACCAAAAATATAGCTGGAGTTGTGTTTTGCTTCATTCACACATGTTTGATTGACACTTTATTTGTCTGTCTCCATCTCCAAGGCTCAAAATGCTGTGTTCCACCTTGTGATGTCATGTAGTGGTAGTTTTCAAATTAATGTAATGTTAAAGGTCATTGAACTCTCTGTGTGTATGTGTGTATGTGACAGGTCCAGCTGTACAACGCCAAGTCCAGAATGGGCCGACCTCAGAGGAGATTGAAGCTCAGAGGGCCAGGTAAGACAATATGTAAAATATAATACAGAAAATAAAATATACATGGTTAAATTATTACAGCTGATCTATTTAGGAAAGATATGTAAATGTGTTTTCTGACTGCACTGCGATTTGTTTTCAAGTTTTTATAACATACACAAAACAAATACAAAACTTGGAGCACTGTTAGGTTACAATAGAGTTATAAAAAAGGTGGATTATGTCTCTTTTTGTTCATCCATAAACATGTGTCTTTTAAGTCATAGAAAAAAAGTCAGTTTCTCGACAGAATATATTTTATTCTACGGTGAGTCATTTTGAATTCAGCTCCTTGCAGCTGCTTTTCTAGTTGCAATTGACAGAATTTTAAAAAGGGATCTGTCCTGGTTTTCAAATACGTCTCCAGTGTGACATTAAACAGCTCTATTTTACATTTACAGGTGGTTTTAAAGTTCAAAAATACCTAAAAAAAACAACAACATTCTGACTGTGAGCGGGGTCGCCTGTCCACAGATCTGACCTGTAACTTGGTCTGGTTTGGTCTCCATGAAGATAGAAAGGTTTAATGCCATACTATGAAACATTATAGACAAAACAATAACATCTCCATGGAGAAAAGGATTTGACAGACCCTTGCTTTTTATTAAACTGAATGTATTCTAAACCTAAAAAAAAAAGTAGAATTCACTCCATACTCAGTATTAATAAGCTACTCATACTTTGCAGTGGCATCATGCTGGAGGTGTTCTACCTGTATGTCTGTGGTGGAATGTTCAGCAGCAGTTACCATAGTGATACAATGCAAATACAGTCCAAAAAGTTTTTCATTCTGACAGGACTCTACATTTGTTGCATTTCATTTCAAATAGATCTCCAGGCAGAAGGCTCAACAGAAATATCTTGGGATAACAAAAGTCAAAATAGAATCTGTTTTTTCAAGCACTCTGTCTCAGAATGGTTTTCATTTTGTACACGTCCAAAGATGTGAGAGTGATTGGCATTTGAGTGACTAAGCCCCTGTACTCTGGCAGTATTTGAGGATTCCCTTAAACTAGTTGTCAGATAAAACAATATAAGAGCTGCTTTTTCAATATGTCTGTAATGGGGCAAAACAAATGTGCATTACATGGCTATAGTTGAATTAGCTCACACGTTTACGTTTATTTAAATGACGTAACAAAATATCCTGTTATATTATGCACACAACCCCATATCTCTGTTAGTTTCTATGTTATAATGTTTCCTCTTCAAAAACAGACTTGGAGTTGTGTTTTGTTTCATTCACACATTCACATTTAGCACACAAACCCTGCAGATTCAGGCTGAGCTCTTCTCTCAAACTGAAAACACTGTGTTGCACTTTGTGATGTCATGTGGTAATACATGAAGCGCTCCATTGCATTTTTAAACTCCATACACCTTAGAGGTGAGATCGGGCCTAAAAAATCCAGCCCGACCCGACCCGGCCCGCGGGTATTAAAACCCGACGCGGCCCGAGCCCGAAGCAAACCCGAAATGTCATATTTTATTTGTGAGGACTCGGGAGGAGGAGCAGTGCTCAGCGTCGAGGTGCCAGTCTTTTTGCTCTCGTATGAAAGCAAAGCGCCACATTGACGACATTCAGCGAAGCCAACGCAAGTTTCTGTAGCATTTTCAACAATCAATCTGAAGCTTTTCCACACCTCACTCTTACCGGTGCGTGTTTGTCTTTTCAGTTCTCCTGCCTTTAGTTTAACTTCTTGCTCCTCCATATTGGGGATACCAGGTCAAAATAGATGCAGACTTGCGGAGGGGAAGATTATTAAATTAAGAGGGGGCGTTCACGTGAGCTCTGGCTCTGCGGATCCTGTTTAGTAGTTAAATAGCAATTACATTACATTACTTCTCTGTTTTATCCATATTATTTTATTTTATAACAAGTATTCCTTAGTTTAGTATCCACACATCGTTTTAGCATACATTTTATAAACATATATTTATTTGAAGCCCGAGCCCGACCCGACCCGAAGTAATGATTGACATTTTAGGCCCAATTCGGGTCGGGTCGGGCTTGGGCTCGGTCTTAAGATCTTACCTCTAATACACCTTCACTAGAATCATTTGGATAATTTCATAATTTTGGAATTGCCCATTTCTATTGAACTAAAGGTAAAAGGAGCTGTTAACTTGAAAACTACCACTACATGACATCACACGGTGGAAAAGAACATTCTGAACTTTGAAGATGTAGACAGACTAATAATAAATAATAATAAACATGTGTCATTACACAGTTTTTTTAGACCAAGAGTTTGTTTTCATACAGTTTTGACTGCTCACTAGTGGTCTTCCTCAGAGTCACGTGATGTTGCTGTGACGTGTCCGCTCAGCTGATTTATACAGGTTTTGGCGCTGTCTTCCTACTGGTGGAGGCAGGATGACAGCGCCATCTGCAGTCCGACTTTCTCAGGACAGTATTCCCGCTGTGTGAGAGTAAAAAATAAATGGAGACGAGGGGGCTTTTTTACTCTCACACACCTGGGATACTGTCCTGAGGAAGTCAGACTGCAGATGGCGCTGTCATCCCGCCTCTGGTAGGAAGGCCAGTGCCAAAACCTGTATAAATCAGCTCAGCAGACACAGCAACATCACGTGACCACTCTGGGGAAGATCGCTAGTGAGCAGTTGAAACTCTCAGGTAAGAAAACAAACTCTTGGTCTGAAAAAAGAACCTAATCACATAAATTATTGGAAGACCAAATGAACCTCTTTGGGCCAATAATAAACAAGTGTGAATGAAACAAAACACAACTTCAGGTCTGTTTTTGAGGAGGTAACAACATTATAACATGGCTTAAATCTCACAAGAGTCAGTTGTGCGTAATATAGGACCTTTAAATATCAACTTTTAACATAATCCTGGTATTAAAAGATACATCTCAAACTTAATCCTACTTTTTCCACATTCGTTCAGCCCTAGTAGAAAACCACGGTGCACTAAGTAATACCATGTGTTTGTGTGCGTGCATGTGTGTTTGTGTGTGTGCATGTGTGTTTGTGTGTGTGCATGTGTGTTTGTGTGTTTGTGTGTGTGCATGTGTGTTTGTGTGTTTGTGTGTGTGCATGTGTGTTTGTGTGTAGTAGCGTTCAGCAGCTCCCCTGTCTGTCTGTGGTCTGCGATCTGCCACAGGTCATGTATTTTAGATCAGGCAAAAAAGCTTTTCTCTCGATCCTTTTCAAACCAGTGAGTCAACTTCAGATGAACTCAGGCCCCTGTAAAGTGGATCAGGGTTTGTAAAAGCACTCAGCCAGAGCAGTGCATCCTGGGATACGCTCAGAGATGTTTTGACAGTGTGCTCTGAAAGTGTGTCAATTGCTGTTAAACATTACTACGCCAGAAGAAGAATCAATCAGTCTTCTTTGGTTTTGAGTATTTTTGGCATCCTCTTTTATTTTTAAAGGTGCACTGTGTAACTTTTTGTTTGGGGGTCCGTCACCTGCTTGTGTCATTGCTCCGCCTGGAATGTTCCACAGTATGACATTAAACAGCTCTACTTTAGATTTATTTAATTACAGGTGGTTTTATAGTTTAAAAATAACTAGAAAAACAGACATTCCAAATGTGAGCGGGGTCGCCTTTCCACAGATCTGACCTGTAACTTGGTCTTCATTCCAGCCAAAGCAATAACATCTCCATCAGAAAAGTTACTCAATGCACCATTAATTATTCAAAAAACATGAACTTTGTTGCTACAGAACAACAATTGATTTTTAGTAAACTGGATGTATTCTGAGCCTAAAAAATGTAATTCACTCAATTTTATTTGGTATTAGTAAGATATTGATACTTGACAGTGCCATCACGCTGGAGGTGTTCTGCCTGTATGTCTATGGTGGAATGTTCAGCAGCAGTTACCATGGTGATACAATGCACATAGTAGCAAACTCAGTCCAAAAAGTCTGCAAAAGTTTGGGGGGCAGGAGTGCTACTTGGATATACAGAGATTGTGCAGAATTGTCCTTTTGGTGCATGATGGGACATGTAGGCAGAACAGATTGTAGTTACAAGCTATTTAAGATAAGATATAATACAAGATATAAAGAGTACAATTCCCAACAACCAGTACAAAGAAAGATGCATAGTATAAAAATATATATGGTGCAAAAATTCAAAAGTGCTACAGATACAACATGTTAAATTTGTATAATATATTTGAGGGCTAATCTTAAACACTTTCATGGAGACGAAAATGTAAAACAGTAAGTGATTGCACAAGAAAGGGGGGAAAGGCAACTCTCCACTGAGCCCTGGAAACGTGTTGGCGTGATTTTAACTTTATCTGCCATTTGGTATTAAAGGCTTTTCATTATTTTGTACTTTTTGAGTGCCTCCATTTTTTTCAACTATCCAGAAAGTTTTTACATTGTCTGAAAATTCAAGAAAAAATTCTAAATGGAGGCTGTGATCAATACGAGTGTTCATGGTCCTACTTAGGTGTTTTTTGGGGTCTTTTTTTTTTCAACTAAATGTGAGAGTGACTAACTGAAAAACTGTTGACTAATGCTAACTAGATTGTAATTTTATGCGTGAGAAACTTGCGCAAATGATCTGCTGCCCCTAGGCTTACTCCAGTTAGATTGAAGTACTTTTACAGTTTTATTCTGATTGAGGAATATTTTAGGATAGGACCCTTCCTTTTTTGTATTTCATTTCATCAAATTAAAACACTCTCTGACATTTCTTAGACTGTCTGGATGGCTCAGCAGCTTTGGGTCCCCATGCTTTCACTGGGGGAAAAAGAGAGAGGGAGAGAGAAGAGAGAGAGACAAAGAGAAAGAGAGAGCGAGAGACAGATTGATGGGGTGGAGGGCAAATGCTGACTCGGCTCTGTACGAGGCTTCTGGAAAATTCTTCAAATCCTGTCCCACATGTTGTTCACGTCAGACACAGAGAGATCTGAGGGAATAAGAAATGAGAGCAGGTTCAGTGGAGATCTGGAACTACAGTGTGCAACTTAAAATATGACAGTTAAAGCATTAAACATGAGGTGTGCGCTACATGTACAAAATGTTAAACAGGAAGATCAGAGAGAAAAGCCAGATAACAAAATAATAGTTGTAAAACATAAAAGTTAGTAAAATGATACCCCTATTCAAATATCTGTCTGATGTTTAGTCATATTTTCACTGTGGATTTGCAAACAATACAATAAATCAATAAATAAAATGAATTTAGGTTCTTGTGAATCAAATACACAAAGGATACATGTATTCAAGTCATGTATCTCAGTGTTGCCTATGTTGTATTCATTAGGGTTTGGGATGAGACACAATTTTCAAGACAAGACACGCCAAGAGATCAGGTCCATGAGAACAAGACAAGTCGAGATTTTGACATCATTTGTAATAAAAAAGTAGTGCAATCCATTTCACAATTATGGCTTCACTATTTTTTTTATTTCATGTAATACTTTAGCTTTAGTCATTGTAGTACTGCTTTTTGGAACAGCTTCTCAAATTGTACTCACCAGCTCTTAACTCTTTTTAGAGGCAAAAATTCATTCATTTAGAGGCAAAAATCTCACAAGATCATTTTTCTCATGCGTGCACAATCTTGTGGGAATTTAGTGTCGTGAGATCTTGTGGCACGAGATCTTGTCACATCCGTAGTATTCATACCAGAATCTGTCAGTGTATGGTGTGTAATGGTGCTGGTTAACTCGGTGTTAACTTTAAGATGTTTTTTTTTAACTGTATACATTTTCTTTGTGTTTTTAGGCAGATGATGGAGCAGCAGCAGCAGCAGCAGATGCAGGCACACATGGAAAGAGAGCGAAGGTCTTCCAACTCAGGTACCAACATTACTTGCATCACTACACAAAACTATACAAAACTACACAAAACCGTACAAACACAAATAACTGTTTGACTGTCAAAATTCTATAATCTGTTGATCAGTTGTTATAGTGTTGAACCCAGAAGTATAGGTTGAAAATATTATGTTTTCGCTTGTTCCCCCTCAAATTAAAAGTGTACTATTTAACTTTCCTGGTTGTTAGACTGTTATGTGCTTGTCTCTATGGAGATGTGATTGCCTTGCCTGAAATGTTCCACAGTGTTACATACATACACAGGCGTTTTTGTTGCCTTGAAAATCATGCATTCATACTGTGATCAGACTCGCCACTCCACTTACCTGTAACTTGGGCTGGTGGTGTCACTTGCTAGTCTATAGAGATAGATACGTGTAATGCCATATCATGGAACAATTCTGGCAAAACAATAACGTCGCCATAGAGACGAGGTGGTGGACCAGGTTACATAGTGCACCTTTAAACAAAATGTAAAAATTTTGTTGGTTTAGATTGACTTTGGTTGCTTATTTACATATTTGAAAATATTTCTTGTCATATTAGTTAGGGCTGCACACTGTATCGCAAAAAATGTATTTATTATTTATTAAATTTATTTATATGTTTATCCTTTCTTGTGTTCTGCAGGTTCTCCTTTCCAGGGCCACCCCGCTGTGCTGTCTGTAGCGCCCCCTGTAGTCCCTCCATGTATGAACATGGGCGGTGCTCCTCCTCCCCCTCCGCCTCCCCCGGGCCCCCCTCCCCCACCGCAGCACCCCAGCCCCCCTCCCTCCCCCACTGCCTCTGGGGGGGCCCACGGAGAGATGACTCACCCGCCCCGACCGGACTGGCCGCCATGATCGCAGGGGCCAAACTCAGACGCGTCCAAAGAGTGAGCCTTTTTCAATTTTATTTTTACAATGTTCTTTTTATTTGAGAGATCTGCAGCAAATCCTTGACAGTAAAAGTGTAGTTTGGAGTTACGACTTTGAAGAAATCTGGAGAAGAAATTGGACAATTTTTTGTCTAAATGAACAAATGAAAAAATAAAATGCAATTATTAACGTGTCTGTAAATTAGTAATGATTATTTTTATGTAAACTTTATGTGTATTTATGTAAATATTCCTCCTTTCAGTCGGAGGAGAATTCATCGTCAGCTCCAAAGAGTGAAGCGAACCGGACGAGTGGAGGGAGCGGAGGTCTGATGGAGGAGATGAACGCACTGTTGGCCCGAAGGTCAGAGGTCAAATACTGTCACCAAAATATACTTTATATCTGTGCAGTAATTTATAGATGTTTATTTTGTGTCTACAGAAGGAAAGCAGCAGAAGATGGGCAAAATGTGAGTAAATCCTTAGTTTTGTTTGTTTTTTTATAGTTGTAAATAGGGCTGTGCAGTTTTTTTTCACATTTTAATTCGAGATTCAGTCATTTCTACAGTAATTGTCATTGATCAGTTTGGGTCTTTTTATTGGAGACGTCTACAGCCAATCCTCTGTCAGTAAAGGCATGTGGTTTGGACCAGAGTTCAGAATTTGGAAGTTAAACGACACTGATTAAAGCTGCATTGCACAACTTTTCTGGTAGAGAGTCTGGTTATGGTTATTGCTTTGCCTGGAATGTTCCATGGCATCACATTAAGCACATCTATCTAGCACTTATCCATTATGGGTCTCTCTATTGCTCAACAATACAATAGTTCTCTCTGTGAACAGCATTGCCTCTCCACAGATCTGATCAATAATGTAGCCTATAGTTTTCACTCATAGATTATCTAAGCCTAGTTAAAAGTAAAAAATGGTATGTGCTGTGTTATACTCAGACTAGTAAACTACTTTTGATCTTAAGGGCATAGGTCTTTCACACTGTGTTGTTAAATTTTGTGTATAGAAAACTAGTTAATTAAATCAGATGCATTAGTAGGTTTGTGAATAGTTTATAGTAGAGTTTTAATTGACTTTGTGTTTTTTGTGTAGGATGATCCAAATTCACCTTCACCCAGCACTCGTAGCGGACAAAACTCTACAGGTAAAATCAGTTTATTTCAGAGAAAGATAGATAGATACATATGAATTGATGCATTGAATTTCACATTTGCTTTTTATTATTCATTTATTTAGACGGTGTGAGGAAACCATGGGACCGGGCCAACTCTGCAGACAGGTCCATGGTGTCAAGGTAAGATGTTTTTATTATAATATTTTCTGATTTGTTATAATGTTGCTTCCTAATCAAAAACACAAAATTGACTCCTGTGAGCTTTAAGTCATGTTTTAATGTTTTTACCTCATCAAAAACAAACCTGGAGTTGTGTTTTGTTTCATTCACACGATTGAGTAATCCTTTATTATTAGTCTGTCAACATCTTCTAGGCTCAAAACGCTCTGTTTCGCCTTAAGATGTCATGAAAGCTTTCAAGTTTTCGAGTTAACAACTACCTTTTAAGTTTAGTTCAGCAGAGATTGGCAATTCCAGGGCAGAAATCATCCAAATGATTCTAGTGAAGGTGTATGAAGTTTAAAAACACAGTGGAGCATTTCCTGTATTACCACACTCAACCTAAATATGCAGAGTTTGTGTGTTAAACATGTGTGAATGAAACAAAACATAAATCCAGACATGTTTGTGATGTGGAAACAACATTATAACATAGATCAGAAAATAGCGTAATATGGGCCTTTAAAAAAAATTCAAATAAATAAATAAATAAAACTAAAATATCTCTTGTCCACACAGGGCCAGAGCTGCAGGGAGCGGAGGAGATTCAGATGTAGACTTCGATAGGATGAAACAGGTAAAACATTATTTGATTTTTAAAGCATTTACAAAGAGAATATTAGATTAATGATTAATGTGTGTTTTTATTTTCTTTTATTTTGAAGGAAATTTTGGATGAAGTTTTCCGTGAGTTGCACAAAGTAAAGGATGAAATTATCGATGGTAAGTCGTACACACTGCAAAAACCATTACAGAGTTACCATATAAGTATTTTTAAATCTAATCTGTAAATGTAACATGCCACACAGATACTGACAAGATGTAATGCATAATAATAACCACTAGGCCACACTAAAGATAGACATGAAATATAGAGTGAACAAAGTACACTCCTGCTTCAGTTTGCTATCTGAGAAAAATAGTTTTAAAGTTGTGTATGTTTCCAAAAAATCATGCATATAAATACTAGGAATGTGCCAGGTAGGGTTGGGTAAGTCTAAAGGAACTGTATGTAAACTGTGCTCTTACTGTTTTAAAAAGGAATAACTATCACTACTGAACCTGGGTTGCCAGTGCATTAACCTGCAGATAGAGGACAGATACTAGTACATGTTTTTCTCACTGTATGGACAGACCAGGCGTTATGTGAAAGCTCAGAACCTCCAGAATTCCCTCACTAAGCTGCAGAGGCTGCACTAGCACTGATTCATGATTAGCTGTAGGTTCTGGGGTTTAGGTAGAGACCATTCAGATAAGAGAGAGGCATTTTAGGTTTAAACCAACTGGATTTGAGCATTGAAACTGGCAACCCAAATGAGAGACTCGTGTGAGGTTCATTCTGTTTTCTGATTGGATAATCATCTTTAGAAATAAAACACCAAATTATAACATAAATAAATGAGACTTCATGTCCAATGTTTTTGTAGTTAATTCAGTAAACCGCATTAGAATAGTTATCAATAAAAGCTATATCTGATTTGTGAAAATTCTACCTCATATCTGGAGACACAGCCTGGTTATGTTTGTGAAATTCTAAATCTTACAAACAGTTCCCTTAACTACCTACCTCCTACTTTGGTTTTGGTTTGAAAATGAGGTACAGACCTTACATTTGTTTAATAGTACCTTCATTACATATAGCCCCTATATATTTAACTCTTTATTTTCAGTTTTTTATATTATTTAGTTGTATAGAGATCAACCCTTAACTTAGACTTAGACTTAGACAAACTGTATTGATCCACAAGGAAAATTACTTGGACACAATAGTTCACACATAACAATATATTACAATAACAAAGAGAAACACTATTTTAAAAAACGGTAATAATACTTCTAAATAAGTGGCAATAAAAATAGCTACAGACAGGTGTCAGTGTTAATGTTTTTTCTTGTATTTTCCTTCACAGCCCTTAGACATGAACTCACTCGGGTTAGCACCACATAATCTTTCTGAGCCACTGCCCCAAAAAACAAAACCTTTTTCAAAACCGACCTGCTGCGGCGTTGTGGCCCTCAAGAAGAAACGAACAAAAAGAAGAAGAAGAATGAAGATGAAGAAGAAGAAGAAGAAGAAGAGGAGTGAAAATACTGTGACATCACCCGTCCCACATCCGCCTCTGTAATGTCTGTGTAACATTCGGTTTGGTTGTTTGAACATGTGATCGCCAGGGCACAAAGCAAGAACTCTATCTGCAGTTGAGTTAAAATGACTTGAATTCAGAATCTTAGGTTGAGTGTCTTGTGGTTTCTCCAGGGATGTCTCTAAAAAACATCTTAATACCTTGTTTATCTGCAAATATAGCATTTTCAAACCACCTAAAGGTCACATAGTTATCTGAATATCAATCAATCAATCAATCAAACTTTATTTATAAAGCGCTTTTCATACAAAAATGTAACACAAAGTGCTTTACAGAGATTAAAAACAATCCACCCACCCAACCCCCACAGCTGCCCGACAACACACACACACACAAACACACATTAACCTGCTAAAATACATAAAACGACACATAGTAAAATGTGAGGCTGAATACAGGCGAACCAGTTGAGAAAGCACCATCAGAGGAGCCGAGAGACGTCCACCACCATATATTATATGTATGTTATGTATTTGCAATTAATTCCAATTAGAAGTGTATTACCCCATCTTTAAGGTTGAGGTACACTTTATTGACCCATCTTCAGATCTTCAGTCTTGTTCAGGAGTACCTCAACTGGAGTATTTTTTACCTATTGTTATTTTTTGCTCAAACGTAAAAACTCTGCACAGAAAGGCCTGGGACTTGAGCCCAGAACCTTCATGATGGGAGGCGAGACTGCTAGCAATTCAGCCACACTGTCCTGGTTTTGTTCTGGTTTGAGTCCAGTTTAGTCCTGATGTAGACCTGGTTTAATCCTGATCTAGACCTGATTTAGTCCTGATCTACTCTTGACCTAGTTGTGATGTAATGATTTAGTTGTGATCTAGTCCAGGTTCAGTTCTGAGTTTAGTCCTAGTTTAGTCCCAGTTTTAATGGTGTATATACAAGTAAGTTGATCAAACATTTTAAAGTGTAAAAAAAGAGAGAGAAATTCTGACAATATATAGGCCTATTTTTTCCCCAAATTTCAAGAATATAATCTGCAAGTGTAGTAAAAACTTGAAAAATACTTCAAATATATGATTCAGTTCATCTAAACTGATTGTTTAAGTGATAAGAACAAGATTAAAAAGGTTGCAGTTGGATCCCAGCTCAAAACAGTGCATGCTTTTGTTTTGTCCTTGAGCAAGACACCCAATTTACCTTTGTATGAATGTGGTTTATGAGCGATTTGTGGTAAATGGAAGGGACAATAATAGTAACCACACTCACACCAGGCAGTCTCAGGGCAGCTGCAAAAGTATTATATAAGACTAATGCATACTTCTATTTCTAATAAAACCTCTCAACCCCAGATTCTGAAGTGAAGTGATTGTAGCTCATGCAGATATGTGTATTTTGCAGTGCTCCCTCTAGCACTGATCTGTCTGTCTGTTAGCCCACTCTCCCTCTTCTCGGCCTGAAGGAAAACGATTCACTTTATTTCTGTTTCACAAATGTATTTTATCTTTTTACACTGTCACTGTCTCTGTTAAGGCTCTCGTTGCTGTGGTTGTGATCAGAGGTGGGGAGGACTGGGATTATATCCACTCAGTTGCTTTGACTTGAGCAACAAATTGTACTTAATCAGACTGAACTTGTTATATTTAAGTAGTTTTAAGTAATATTATAGAGAATATTGCTTTAAAATAAATTCTGTGTTCCCAAATACAAGGAAGACATGTTCAAATCAAACATAGCTTTTACTAATAACAATTCTAATGCTGATTTATTTTTAATGGCAAAAACACTGGATATGATTTCCTATTTATTGATGTTATAATTTGGTGTTTTGGTTCCCACGGCGATTACCCAATCAGAAAGCAGAATGAGCCTCACACAACACGAATGCTGAAGTCCAGTTTGTTTAAACCTAAAAGGACTCTCAACTTTTGGCATTTCAACAGAATAAATTTGAAAATGTGAGAAGTACCACAATACAAGGCAGATATTGAAAATGGTTAGACAGATTATTGTCAGTTACTTTTGTCTTATAAAAACGTAAATATTATTCCATGTATCAGCAATAGGAAAAAGTATAAATATATACTAATATATGAACAAATACATAATGTAACATAATAAAAAGGAAATCATGTCCAATGTTTTTGCCATTAAGAATAAATCTATTCTAGCCTGATTCATCAGCCGGTTTCACTTCATGGAAACCGTCTGACCTGACTAGGATTCGTTCCCTCGACACTATGCGGGTACTTTTTTTATTTAACCAGTTGCTGCTATTTGGTCATGAAGTATGTAATGCACCGCTAACGGGGCTAACTGCTATATTAAGCTTTTTCCATCCCGTAGGAAGAAGGACAATAATGTCTTTCCCCTTGATGAAATTCAAGAACATTCTCTTTGTTCCGGCTTTAAATCCTCAATCTCGGGAATCGTTGCCAACACAGAATGTATGGCTCTTCACTGATTGGCTGGTCTGGGCTGTATTTTGATTCCTGGCCTAGTCAATGGAGAGAAATGAAATTGAGCGGAGGCACTAAGTGGCACCAGCCTGATTAGAATAAATCAGCATTAGAATAGAATTGTTGTTAGTAAACGCTATATTTGATTTGAATATGCCTTCCTCGTATTTGGGAACACAGAAGTCATTTTAAAAAGATATCCAAGTCCAAACTCTGGCTCTGGGGCCAATTGCAGCCCTCAGACAATTTTTTCTTGGCCCTCAGGCTTCCAGGTAAATTGTTATTTGGAAACAAAGATAAGTAAAGTTTATGAAATTTTAAGCCTTAATTTTACATACAGTTCCTTTAATGAGTATTCTCCAAATATATATATTTTTTATTTTAACTCAAGTAATTCTTCTAACGTAACAGTACAATTACTATAGTACTAGTCGGCACTTCCCACCTCAGATGTTTTGTATTAAAGTGGATGTAGTAGTACTAGAATAGAGAGTACAATGATAGCAGTAGTGTCTTTACAGAGACTTTGTCAGTAACGATAAAATGTATTATTGCACATGATTTTTGTTAGTTTTTGTATTTTATATTATTTTAAAAGAACACGTTTGGTTTATTCTCATCACACAACCTGCAGAGTTTTTACAATGTTTTTTACCCCTTTTACCGACACAAATATGTGAAAACAAGGCCTGAAAAAAGTTAAAGGGTTGAATAGACTTGTTTGGATTTTGCAATTAAAAAAGAAAAAAAGAAAATAATATCACACCAGAGTATTTGTGACCATGTTGTTAATAAAATGTTTATTGGCTGCAAGGATTTGGTGAAGTATTTTCCCTTTTATGACAAAGTGCTTCCTGATGACAACTAAAAAGACAAAAAAGAAACACAAACTTTACAATGAATTTAAATAAAACTGTGAATTATATGTTGAACTATTTGAAGTGGTTTAGTGGTTATTATTATTATTATTATTATTATTTATCTGAAGTCACGTATATATAGAAAATAGAATAATATGGTAATTTATTAAACGGATAAAATTAAATGCGTTTGGAAGAACTTGCATTTTTAACTTTGGACAACATTAACTAAATACATAAATTGCAAGTTGAAATTAAAGCTAGAATAATAGGATATCATTTCACATATTTAACAAGGGAAAAACCTGTGCATTTGGAAATAACTTTAATAAAATATAGGCCTATTGAGTTTTAATGGTCCTGTATTACACAAAATTGACTCTTGTGAGCTTTAAGCCATGTTATAATGTTGTTTCCTCCTCAAAAAAATACCTGGAGTTGTGTTTTGTTTCGTTCACACATGCTTGAGTAATCCTTTATTATAGTCTGCCTACAGCTCCACCTTGTGATGTCCTGAAGTGGTAGCTTTTGTTCAGTAGAGACTGGCAATTCCAGGTCTGAAATCATCCAAATGATTTTAGTAAAGGTGATTACCCAAATCAGAAAGCAGAATGAGCCTCGCATGACTCTCTCATTTGGGTTGCCAGTTTCAATGCTGATTCAGTGTTGTTTCAAACCTAAAATGACTCTCAATTTATGTCATTTCAACAGAATAAATTTGAAAATGTGAAAAATACCACAATACCAAGGTAGAAACTGAAAATGGATAGATAGATATATTATTGACAATTATCACAAACTGGCATCATATACTAAATTAAAGCTTAATCCAAATGATTCTAGTGAAGGTTTATGAAGTTTAAAAACACAATGGAGCACTTCCTGTATTACCACATGATATCACAAGTGTTTTCTGTTTGAGAGAAGCCTAAATATGCAGGGTTTGTGTGTTAAACATGTGAATGAAACAAAACTCCAGGCTTGTTTATGATGAGGAAACAACATTCTAGCATAGATCAGAAAATAGTGTAATATGGGCCGTTTAACTGTGGGTAACATTAACAAAATACATAAAGTGCAAGTTAAGAGTACTGTTAATCACCTTTTTAGAAAGCTAGACTAATTAAATGTAACCTACTTATAATATTATAATTTGATTTGAGTATAAACTATCGGCTACGGTAGAAGTAAATGCTAGCTTTGGCGCCATCTAGTGTACAAAAGTGAAATTTCTGAAGTTTTGGAATGTCCCTGCTATAAACTATTACATTTTGCACTACTTGCTTTAGAATTACTTTCAATTTTAGCAACGGATAAAAATAGACCATGCAAATAATAATACAATTTCCGTGTAATATTTGCATTCTAGTTTGTAAGCTTTAGCGCCCTCTGCTGCGCAATGGCGAGAACTCTCAGTCTCTGAAATCTCGCGTTTTTTCCGTGTCAGAAATGCATAGTGGCGACGGGATTTGGCGTGGGAAGGAGCGAAGTTGTTGTCGAAGAGGGCGCAGACTGCAGACAGCGAGCAGAGCAGGGGGTGTGTGCGCTTTGGCCAGAAATTCACTTAGGAAAGCAGCGTGGATGAGACAGGCAAACTGGCGCACTACAACATGGCATCGGGGGACACTCTGTACATTGAGACAGATGGCTCGGAAATGCCCGCAGAAATAGTGGAATTGCACGAAATTGAGGTTGAGACTATACCCGTGGAGACTATCGAGACTACGGTGGTTGGTACGGATGAGGACGACGACGGGCAGCCGATGATCGCGCTTCAGCCGCTGGTTACAGACGACCCGAGCATGCACCATCACCAAGAAGTTATTTTGGTGCAAACCCGCGAGGAGGTGGTCGGAGGAGACGACTCGGACTTGCACGCAGATGGAGGTGGGGGGTTCGAAGATCAGATCCTCATCCCGGTACCTGCTCCGGGAGTTGAGGACGAATACATCGAGCAGACTTTGGTGACTGTGGCCGGGAAAGGCGCAATGGGTCGGGTGAAGCGAGCAGGCGGCGCCGGTGGGAAAAAATCCGGCAAAAAGAGTTATTTAAGCGGTGCGGACGCCGGGGGACGCAAATGGGAGCAGAAACAAGTGCAAATTAAGACTTTGGAAGGGGAATTTTCTGTCACAATGTGGGCGTCGGGTAAGTAAAGCAGCTCTAGTATTTCTATTGCATGTCTCATAGGCCTCGTTATCTGGGCGTTGTCCTCTGCGCCTGTCTATTTCCTGGAGAGGTCCATTGCGCGCCGTTTAAAGCGACAACTAATGCACGTTTTCGATGCAGAACCTGACACATAGACAGCTAAATGTTTTTGTTTTGAAGGGAAGCCATGTTTTAGGTGTTACTGGGCGCCGCCATATTCCCCGATACTAGTAAGTATGGCGGCGGACCCGAAAAAATGGCGATGGCGAGGGGCGAGCTATGCGAAGCGGAGCCACAGCTGCGCCTTTAGCATGTCTGCAGGCCCCAGAAACGTGTCGCACTCTGTTTAAACACACAATCTTAACTAAATGGTGCCCCTGACTGATCAATATAACAGTTTTGAAACGTTTAGAAGCGCAAAAAGCATGTAGTTTGCAGTTTATAATCGATTTGGCTGCGCGTGTTGGTAATGGTTAAGCTGCTTTGTGCACAGCCTGTCTGACTACGGGCCGACGCAACAATGCTGCTACTCCTGACCTAGTTATCATTAAAAAACGGCGCGCAATGCAGTTTAAAGCACATTTATAACATCAAATTAAATCTATTATGTTTGGTAGGTGTGTATGTATTGGTTTTTGGTTTATTTTTGTTGTTTTCTTTGTACATTGTGAGTCACGCAGCTCTGTTCTGATTGGTGGAACGTGGACAGTCATTTAACTGCTGATGTAGCGCATGCAGTTAAATGGACCATTGATTTGTTTGTTTTGATCATTTTAAACAGATAAAACGAAAAGAATGTGAAATTAAATCATTCTAATCACAAGTTTATAATATTATGACTGTAATGTATTGTTAAATTTTTATTTTGTATGAGATTTTTTGTTTGTATTGTTTAATTATTAGTTTGCCATGCATGTATTATCACATTTTCTGATTTTTTTGGCATAAACTTTGTGCTATCATTTCATTTTATTTTCATTTGTATTGTTTTGTATTTTTATTTATTCTTTAATATTGTTATTACCCATTTAAACTGAAAATTTCAATAATTTTCTGTTTAAATTGTATATAATGGAACAATAATATGTACTGAAATGTATATTTATTTGACCATAGCCATGGGAGGTGTAATAACATAATAAAGAAATAGCTATATTAAATTTTATAAACACATTTTGAACTTTCCACAATAGTTTTTAACACCACAATTTATTCTAGGTTAGACTGTAGTTATTGGAACTTTATCAGCTTTGTATACATATGTCTTACTCAAATTTAATGGTTTGCTTATATTTAAATCTGGTTTATTATAATGCAACAGTTTTCATAGTAGTTTATTTCTCCTGTTTTACTATAATCTGTTACACTTTCTATGGCTATGACTATGACTTGGTGTCCTTGTGTGTGTAGCTAGTTTAAGCTTGTATTTTATCCGTTCAGTCTCTGTAACTTGTTCCTAGGATACTCTGAAGACATTGATCATGAGTCTGTGGTGGAGGAGCAGATCGTGGGAGAGAACTCGCCTCCAGACTACTCCGAGTACATGACGGGGAAGAAGCTGCCCCCTGGTGGTATCCCTGGAATCGACCTGTCCGACCCCAAACAGCTCGCCGAGTTTGCCAGGTGAGTGCAATATTGAGAAATGATAGTTTTTATAATTTCAGCTGCCACTATATAAGGTTTTCAAAAGTATAGAAAATCAGGTATTAGTCAAAGTAGTATCAAACCTCATTTGGGCAGGTATTGAGAGTAAAAAAAAAAATCACATTCCTACAGAAATGAACTTTTCCTGAATAGCTTTAGAATGATCTTGAGCCATATCAGAACAAGTATAAGAGCACATAGACTAGTATACACCCATGGACCACTGAGGGATTACACCGATATAACACCACATGGGAATAGAAAAGAAAATACTAATGTTGAAAATGGCATTATATTGTCTAAAGCAGGGGTGTCAAACTCAAATTCACAGCGGACCAAAATTAAAAACTGAGACTAAGCTGTGGGCCAAACCAAATATTTATTGAAAAATCTCAACAAAATCTGCATGTTTTCTCTTCCTTCGAGATATGTAATATTAAACCTTTTCTTATTGAAATAAATGTATAATAATAGTTTTGCTTAAACATTGAATCCAGAACAAGCATAATGCAAAATAATAACAAAATTTTAAATAAATAATGTCTCCATAGCCGATCTGTAGCTGGTGGACCAGCTCTAACACATATTTGAAATGATCTCGCGGGCCAAATATAATTATAGGCCTGAGTTTGACAAGTCTGGCCTAAAGAAAGTACTTTTTAATTACTTTCGAGTTTGAAATTTTGGTATTGTGACAACACTACACCATATATTATTCGGTGCTTCATAAATAGTACTACATAGTCCTGTCTAGTGTTAGTCCTGGTTTAGTCATTTCTAATTTGACGAGTTACTACACAGAATGGTTAAAGGTGCACTAAGCAACTTTTCTGCCACTGGTTTTTCTCCATGGAGATGTAATTACTTTGCCTGGAATGTTCTAGTGTATTGTACAAAACATGAATCTCCATGGAGACAAACTAGTAATGCAGTCAGGCAAATATATAAGTCAGATCTGTGGAGAGACAACTGTAAGAAGGAAGTAAGATATTTTTTTAGTAATGTCAACACCATTGCTGGATGCAGTTAATGCTAAACAGTGGAACATTCCTGGGAAAACAATAACAACATCACACTATTACATCACTACAGACTGTCTACATCCTTTGGGACTTTTGCTTTGTATATTTTGGCAAGAATGAAGAGGTTACATTTCTGTATTTTCAACTACCAAGTCCTTTCTCATCCCTTAAATAAACATAACACATTCTGTATTCTCTAAAGAGTGTTTCTGTACACTTGAATTTGCTTTGAATCTTCAGAGAGATCGTAGACCCTTTTAAAAAACTACTGCATTTTCAGCAGAAGGATCCAAACCGAAGGAGTTACTTATTAATCGTGAAAACCAAAGTGCAGAAGGCTGCAAAACAGACCCGACCCGATCAATATGTTTGTAACTGATTATTTATTTCTACAGGATGAAACCCAGAAAAATCAAAGAAGACGATGCTCCGCGGACAATAGCCTGTCCTCACAAAGTAAGACTTCTCTTTTCTTATATGTTCACAAAACCATTACCTATTGCACCATAACATCACATCTCAATTAAATGTTTTTGTTAGACCTTTGTATTTCATTAATGTTGTATGTTTGTGTCCCCATTCCCCTGTACAAATTTAAGGTCATATATTATACATAGTTGGCTTTTTTGAGCTTTAAGCCATGATATAATGTTGCTACTTCCTCAAAACATGCCTGGAGTTTTGTTTCATTTCATTCACATATTTGAGCAGTCCTGATTTATTAGTCTGTCTGCATCTCCAAAGCTCTGTTCGACCTTGTGATCTCATGAAGCAGTAGTTTATAAATTAGCAGCTACTTTTAACTTTTTGTTCAGTAGAAATTGACAATTCCAAGCCTGAAGCAATCCAAATTATTCTAGTGAAGGTGTATGGAGTTTAAAAGCACTTCCTGTATCACCACATGACACGCAATATTATCTAAAATAATTCTGCTTTCTTCATATTCCTCCCTTTGTTTTCCCTTCAGGGCTGTACAAAGATGTTCAGGGATAACTCTGCCATGAGGAAGCACCTGCACACTCACGGGCCGAGGGTTCACGTCTGTGCAGAGTGTGGAAAGGCGTTTGTGGAGAGCTCCAAACTAAAGAGGCACCAGCTCGTCCACACGGGGGAGAAGCCTTTCCAGGTGACTGCTCTGACACCTGTGCACATAAAGTCTGTTACAGAGTCTCATTTGAGCACATTTAACAGGGCAACCCCAAGGCCCAGTGATAAAACCTGTAAAATTTGATGGTGTGAAAAATCAAGGTCTTAATGTTTTATGGCCTTATATTCATTTTGTTATAAAGAGAATCCATTTTCAGTAGCTACTTGGTACGGGGAGTTATTTTTTATGCCAGCTATATTCATAATTTTGGATCCACTTTGCATCGCACTTTGTAAGCTTCACCCTTCCTGATCTTTTTAAATGATCTGTAACTCTAGTAGGCTGAGGGATTTTTCTTGGGCAACTAGTCAAGCCAAATAAAATCCCCCATCTGAGGCAGTCCTGACCAAGTCTAGCTCAACATCTGAAGACGGGTCCACTAACGCGCTGCTTGTCATAAAAATAGCAGTTCTATATTTTTTATTAATTAATCAACCATTGGATTTATATTGCGCATTTCAGCAAACCTAAAGTGCTTCACAGAGCATTATTTGTTCACTCCACACTCTGCGATGAAAAGCTGTTATAGTAGCTACAGCTGCCCTGGGGCAATCTGTGCCATTGGCGCCTCTGACCATCACCAATACACACACACACACACCGCATTCAAGCTTTTTGCACTGGCTCCCCACTGTGGCCTCTGGAACTCCACAAACAAAGTCCCACTGACCCATCCAACTGTTGTGTTTCGTTTAAAGTCCAGTGCGGTTTATCTGTTAAAAAAGTTTAGAAAATAGACCATTCTATGACAGTGCGTCTTATAATCCAGAGCGACTAATAGTGCGGAAAATACGGTACTCTGACAAGATCAGGTTTTGACAAGCTGGTGTGGCCATTTTTCTCAAATCATTCAGCTGTACCACTGACGTAGTAATTTCCTTGTAATCCTTGTGAAGTAAAATAATCTTTCTTTTGTTATGACAGTGTACTTTCGAAGGCTGTGGAAAGCGTTTTTCTCTGGACTTCAACCTGCGCACACACGTCCGGATCCACACAGGAGACCGGCCGTACGTCTGCCCCTTCGACGGCTGCAATAAGAAGTTTGCTCAGTCCACCAACCTCAAGTCTCACATCCTCACACACGCCAAGGCCAAAAACAACCAATGAGAAGGCCCCAAAGAAGGCTTCAGTGGACTCCAATCTGAAAAACTATTCAAATGGCCCCTCACAAACACTTCAAAAGACTGATTTGTGAAAGATTCGGCTTTAAAGGTGCACTCTGTAGCTTTTCTGCATCTGCTTGTCTCCGTGGAGATGTTATTGCTTTGTGAGAATGATACACAGTATGGCATTAAGCTTAAAGGTGCTGTACCTGATTTTTATTGCCTTAAAAACATGAAAAATAGAGCTAGTTCATTTTAAACGATTTGCAGTGGTCCAAAGTTATTCCTCACTTTTCTTATGCGTTCTGAGGATCCTAATTATTCACCACAATGGTTTTATAAACACTTTTCACATCAACAATTACCATGCTAACACACACTTCCTGATTCACGAATTTTAAAAAGCTTTATAATTGGATGCAAACAGTACACAGCAGAAATATCTACACAAACAAGCAGGTAAATGGTACTAGACAAAGTTACTAGTCAGATCTGTGGAGTGGCGAGCATGCTCACACTCAGGAGACATGTTTGTAAAGGTGTTTTTAAAGGTGATTTTTAGCAATAATTAGAATTTGAATGGGAAAAAGAAATGTCTGATGCCACACTGGGGAACATTCCAGAGAAAGCAATAACAGCAGCTTTATGAAAGTTACACACTGCAGCTTTAAAGGTGTGGTAAAGCTTGTGTTACTTTTCTGGGATGTTCCACAGTATGGCATTAAGCAAGTATATCTTGTATTTATTCGAGTACAGGTGTTTTTTTGTTTTTTTCTCAAAACTACCGCATTATGTCTGTGAGTAGAATCTGACCTTTAACTTGACCTGGTGATGGGGGAAAAAAACAACATGGAGTCAAGCAGGTGGCGCACCCTCTACTAGACAAGTTACACAATGCACCTTTAAGCCCAGTTTTCCTGCATCCACACTTGTCCTGCTGTCTGATCGGACGAGGAAGACTGACTGATATAAACACGCCCCCTACTGGCCCCGATGGCACTTTGCAGCCAGACGAAGGAACTTGAAAAACATCGGAATAATATTTTTACCTGAACGCTGAGGGAATGGCAGCGGATTTAAAGGTCCTATATTACGCAAAACTGACCTCTTTTGAGCTTTAAGCCACGTTATAATGTTGTTGCCTCCTCTGAAACATACCTGGAGTTGTGTTTTGTTTCATTCACACATGTTTGATTAACCCTTTATCATTACTTTATCTACATCTCGAAATCTTAAAATGCTTTGCTCCACCTTGTGATGTCACGAAGCGGTAGTTTTCAAGTTAACAGCTACGTTTTTAACCTTTTGTTTAGTAGAGATTGGAAATTCCAGGGCTGAAATGATCCACATGATTCTAGTGAAGGTGTATAGAGTTTAAAAACACTTCCTGTATCACCATGTTACATCACAAGTTGGAACAGTGTGTTTTCTGTTTGAGAGAACTCAGCCTAAATATGCAGGATTTCTGTGTTAAACATGTGTGAGTGAAACAAAACACAAATCCAGGTCTGTTTGTGATGAGGAATCGACATTGTAACAGATCAGAAAGTAGCGTAATATGAGACCTTTAATTGTAATTTTATTTTGTCACATAGCTTTTATTTTATGAGTGCGCATATTGTACACTTAACTTGGGCTATGTTCAGAAGAATGGTGTTTTGTTTTCAAACTGCATTATGAGATCGTACTATTATTATATTATTATTATTATAAACAAATTTGTGTGACCTGTTTCACTTATAACACAATGGGAAACGTTTTTGCATTTTCATACCCTTTAGTTGTAATTCTCTAACCACCGAATAACCTGTATACTTGTATTGTATGGCTGTATTCAATAGACAATAGCTAGAGGTGTGATTCAAGTGATAACCGATTTAGTCAGTTGCTTTCTATTTTCTATGAACTGTCTTTACACAGATTAACACAAATATTATAGTCCCACCCAGAGCCCGCTTCGGTTTGAAATGACTGCAAGATCTGCACTTGTTTGTCAGAATGTATTGTACAGACTTTGGACATTAACCTTTTCTTTGGTATTGGCTCCCGTGTATCCCGACTGCCCACAATAAACTGGGTAATTCAAACCTGTTACAAATTTGGCTACTGTTTACTGTTGTTAAATCAAATACTATGTTTTTTTTTAATATAATATTTTACAGTTGGTGGTCGTGGAGACTCAGAATCGACGCAGCAATTTTTTGTCTTATGGGATGTTACCATCATTGTAAGAAAAAAAAACATTTGATTTTAAAGGTCCTGTATTATACAAAATTATCTTTTGAGAAATTTAGACCATTTTATAATGTAGTTTCGTTATCCAAAACATACCCAGAGTTGTGTTTTGTTTCATTCACACATGTAATCCTGGAGTATAAATCTTCATCCACAAATTTGAAAATGTTCTGTTCGACCTTGTGATGTCATGAAGTGTAGTTTTCAAATTAACAACTACCATTTACTTTTACTTCATTAAAGACTGTCAATTCCAAGGCTGAAATGATTCAAATGATTCTAGCGCAGGTGTATGGAGTTTAAAAACAGTTAAGTACTAACTGCATTACCACATGACATCACAAGGTGGAGTATTTTTAGTCTGAGAAAAGAACTTAGCCTAAATATGCATTTCTGTGTTCAACATGTGAATGAAGCAAAATGTAACTCCAGGTCTGTTTGTGATGAAGAAACGGCAACATAACGTAGATCAGAAAAGAGTGTAATATGGGCCCTTTAAGAGCAGGACACTCCTTTGTGAGCCTCTACATTTGACTCATCTATTCTTCATTCTAATAATGTCAGTGTCACAAAATTATTATTAATCTTTACTTTTAAGGTTCACCAGGACCAGACCAAATCTACATCAGGACTAAACTGGGCTCAAAACAGCACCAAAACAATGATCAGACCATTTCTCTAATTACAGTAAGATGCTGTAGTCTTAATTAAAGTATAACATTCTTTCAGACTGCTGATTAAAATGGATTCCTTTTGTGTTACAATGAGTGCGTATACATGTGCATGAGTGTCCTGGTTATGATCAGGTTTTTGAGTAGCCTGGTTTCGTCATGGTGCATGTATCTCAAACACTGCCATAACCGGGATATGGCTGATAACTGGGATACTGATGTGAATGTATACGCACTCAGTGAATATGCTGCCTTTAATTTACAATAATACACACATACACTGTTTTATATCTCACAAATGAATTAGTTATGCAACATTTTTCTGGTTAATCACACCCAATATTACTCCAATGACCTGTGTTGACCTTTCTTTTTAGTTTTTAATTCAATTCAAATTCAATTTTTTTATTTTTATTTGAAGGGCTTATATTATGCAAAATGGACTCTTGTGAGCTTTTAGCAATGTTAGAATGTCAAAACATACCTTTTGTTTCATCCACACGTGTTTGAGTAACCCTTTAGTATTCATCTATGTCTCCAAAATTCTAAATGCTCTATTCCACCTTGTGATGTCATATAGTGGTTGTTTACAAGTTAACAGCTGCCGTTAACTGGTTAATAGTTTAAAAGTTAAAAGTTAATAAGAGATTGGCAATTCCAGGACTAAAATCATCCATATGATTCTAGTGAAGGTGTATGGAGTTTAAAAACGCAGTGGAGCACTTTCTGTATTACCACATGACATCACAAGATGGAACAGAGCGTCTTTTTGGTTTGTTTGTTTTTGTTTTGTACAGGATTTGTGTGTTAAATGTATATATGAAACAAAACACAGCTCCAAGTATGTTTTTGAGGAGGAAACAACATAATAACACAGATCAGAAAATAGCATAATATAGGCTTTTAAAATATTTATTTCATTCCACAAAAGCATACAGAAACATATAGATAAATAGTTTTTTCGTGAAGCAGTTAGCCTCTGCGTGAGTAACTTGCCACATTAGAAAATCAATATCATACATATTTAAAATACTAACGAGCTAAATTGCTTCATCAGCCTTGGTATAATTTCCTGTTTTACTTTTACAGGATTGTGTAAGTGCACGTGTCTCTTTGCCTGCTCAGCTCATCTGTTGTGCACACGCCGCTTCAGTGCACGTTCTACCGCCGCCCTGTGGACACAAAGAGAAGTGCACGGCAGGCGATGGAGCTCTCCGTGGTGCTGAATCTGGCTTCTAAGCAATAAGTCATCACAACTACACAGAGGTGGGTGGAGTAAACAACAACAAAAACAAAAAAAAAAAAGAAAGAAAATGCTCAAATACGAATACTGTTACTTCAAAATAACTACTATAATATTACTCTAGTAGAAGTACAAAGTAGTTGTCAAAGAAATTATTAGACTTAGACTTAGACAAATTTTATTGATCCACAAGGGAAATTTTGGACACAGTAGCTCACACATCACAATAAGACATAATAACAAAGAGAGAAAATATAAATGGTAATAATAAATTCTAAATCAGTAGCAAGAGCAAGAGACTGGGGTCAAATAAAACATAATTATATAAATGTAAATGTACAAGTCAAAATAAAATAGAAATAAAAAAAATCTCAGCTCTATACAAGAAGTCATAAGGAAAACAGTGAAAATTGATATGATGATTAGGACAGGGTTACGGTGAGTTGTACAGTTGTAGGGAGTATTATCTGTTCCATAAGGGTGAGTCGTTGCACAGTTGTAGGGAGTATTATCTGTCCCTCTATAGTCTGGTGCAGTGGGTGAGTTGTTGTACAGTTGTAGGGAGTATTATCTGTCCCTCTATAGTCTGGTGCAGTGGGTGAGCAGGAGTGTCCATGATGCAGAGCATTATTCAAGTAGTAGTAGTAGTATTTGGAGAAAGTACTACTCAAGTAAGAGTAACTGTCTGAATGTATCTTATTTTTTATGATTAAAGGAACGACAAAACATGAAATAATACACAAAATCTGGTCATTTTAAAGGATAGATGCTTGCATGCTCTTATTTATTTATATAGAGGTAAGGATATACTGTATATCTGTGTGTATGTGTGTGTGTATGTGTAATATATATATATATATATATATATATATATATATATATATATATATATATATATATATATACACACACACACACACACACACACACACACATATATATATATATATATATGTGTGTGTGTGTATATATATATATATATATATATATATATATATATATATATACACACACACACACACACACACACACACACAAGTTAATTAAATGGACACTAAACATTTTTTCTGAAACTATACAATAAATATACATTAACAAAAGAAAAAAGACCAGAAAAGGAGAAAATCACCGTAAATAACATCTGAAGGAGCAGTGCCAGAAACACAAATGATCAAATCAGTTCATATTGTCAACATCCAAATATGAGTCTTGTCTTGTGAGCTTAATGTCTCCTCTTTTCTAAATGTGTAAAAAATAAAATTAAATAAAATACTGAAATTAATGGAGCACTGTGTAACTTTTCTCGTGGAGGAGGGTCCACCACCTGGTTTCACCACGGAGATTAGATGTTATTGCCTTCCTGATACAGTATGACTAATGACCTAATAATAATGACTAATCATTATTTTAATAGATCCATGCTAATGACATACATATCGCCATGGAAACAAGCAGGTGAACCCAATAGCAAGTCAAGTTGCAGGTCAGATCTGTGGAGAGGGAAACCCCCTCACAGTTTTTTTTTTTTTAAAGCAATAACACCTGTAAAAGAATATAAACAAGACAGATAAGTCTAATGCCATAGTGCACAGTGTGTCATAGAGTATTCCAGGCAGAACCGACCTTCACGCCAGAAAAGTTCCACAGTGCACTTTTAAATGCACATTCTGGCTTAGAGTTATGTCAGATATTTTTAGCAGAGCCTTGCAAGCTTCACACAGTCTGTTTGAGATTCCAGACACTTCCCCCTCTCTGTTACCTGCGCGACGTTAGTGTTAGCGTTTGCTGCTCTGCGTCATGTGCCCCGTTCATCTTTGTGAGGGGGTTTTCATTCCACTTGGGGGTCTTCGTCTGGTTTTTGTTCTCTGTCTCTCTGGGGCGAGTGTTGAGAGGGTCTCATATTTTGATTGACAAAAGCAGAGGAGAGGAAATGCTCTACTTGATATTCAGCTGAAGTCTGTCAGGACCACAACACCTGCTTGGTTTTCAATGCTTATTTCATTACACACTGCAAAAATAAAAGGAATATTCAGGGATGTAAACATGACCAAAATGTAATGTTGCGATGTCATAAGTGAAGATGTGTTGAATTACAAGCTTTAAAGTATTGTTTTGTTGCAGAAGCATTCAAAACACAGAGCTAACTGTCCAATGAGGTTCAATTGTTCCTCCAATAATTTATGTGATTAGATTCTTTTTTCAGATCAAGAGTTTGTTTACATATCTGACAGTTTCGACTGCTCATTAGCGATCTTCCTCAGAGTGGTCACGTGATTTATACAAATTTTGGTGCTGTCTTTCTACCGGAGAAGGCAGGACAGCAGCAACATCTGCAGTCCAGCTTCCTCAGAACAGTATCCCAGGTGTGTGAGAGTAAAAAAAACCCTTCATCCCGGTTTATCGTCCCGTGGGCACGTTTATGTATTTCAATTACCTTTTTAATCCAGCGATGATGTTTGTTGTCCTCTGTTCCAGTGATGTTTGCTTCATCCCAGTCCTTAATGTCGTTCTTTCTTTTACAGTGTCAGAAATGTCAGATTAGAGTTTTGTGTTTTGTTGCTCGTGTTTCGCCTTCACTGTTTCCTTCTCACATTCTGTTCTATGTTCCTTATTTCGTGTTCTGAACGCCCTCTCTATTTCCCTGATGTGTGTTTTATTGCAGAACATGCAGGGTATTTTGTACATGACATTAGATTTATGCTCCGGCTCTATTTTATCTATTGTCATTCTCCCTCCACCGGTAGGAAGACAACGCTGAGTATTTTACTACTAATTTAAAGGTCCTATATCAGTGTTTCCCAACGACTAGGTCACGACCCTCAGGTGGGTCGCAAGAGATTTTTTTGGGTCACCATGTAGGTCTGCAATAAACAGGTCTAGATTTAATGTCCAAATAGGCAACTTCTGGAGACCTTTTATTGCTGGTTCGATTAGAGTTTTTCATTGTTA